TCCATCATCGTTTTATCTTTTTTTTCTTCTCTCTCTCTCTCTCTTTCTTCTTCTTCTTTTCAATCATACTCCCGTGATTCGATCTAGACCTGAATTTCAAGGATGGCGAGATTAGAGACTACCATCGGACGAGGTATGGTTATCGATCCAAAGGAAAAAATATGTATGTAAAAAAGTGTACGAGGAGTTAATCGTCGTCGAGGGTGAAGAACCTTCGACAACCCGCCTATCACACTCGATGGATGATACTCTTTACGTTATCATTCACGGTGGTAATGTTAATAATAAATTATACGCGCAACCGTGCTTTTAATCTTTTTTTTTTTTGGTCAAAGAAAGAAATCGAACGAGCGTCTAATAATAGAATTATGAACCTCGTAAATTTGGATCCGAGTACAAGCTTTGGAAAAATACGGAGGATAATGCTTTTTTCAAACGTGATCGAAAAATAAGCATTTTAATTGTAATAAGCAAGTACATTGTTCTATCTCTATGATATTCTTTCGAGAGTGCTTCGAACTTGCTTCGTTCCGCAAAACCAGCTCGTACGCTAACACTAAATAGAAAAAAGAAGAAGAAAAAAAAAATGAAACACGATAACCTCGTGAGTAGCGATAATCGTATCCCGAGCGAGTCTTCCTCATCGAATTTCTCTCTTGGATTCGTAAATACGTATCGACGTATGTATCAACCCTATTCGCCACCACACCCTTCTCATCCAACAATACGTCTTTCGATTCTCGTGAATATTGAAACGAGACCGACGCAACTTCTCCTCCTCCCGCTTGCACCACGGCGGGGGTGGAGATTTCATGCACACATTATCGTATTACCCTCGTTCCTATATAGAAACGGCCCGCTTGCCCACGCTCCAAAACCTTGTGCATAGAAACGGCCCGTTTGATCCTATCGCCTCGCCTCGTCATATCTAATACATCGATATTTAACCGGTGGCCCTCGCCACTCCGAATAATTGCACCTCCAATCTATCCATCTATATAATTCCCCTTGCAACCATTGTAAACGATTTTCCCTCATACCTTTCCATCAATCGCGCGTTTAAACGAGGCGAATCTTCCTCCCCCTCGACGATAAAACTCGATCGTTCCGCGCACCTTGTCCAACAACTTTGGACGGGGATGATCGATCCTCCTCGATTGAAAATTAATACGCCGGGGATAACGTTTTGTCCGTACGATATCTGGGAAGGGAGGCGCGCGTTTGAATAACGAGACGTTTGGAAATTTATTTATCGATCTTAAGGCCAGAAACGTTACCGATAATTAGCGGTTGCCATGCTCGCGATTCCACCGCGACCGGTAATTGAAAATTGGCCTTCGTTCCTTGCATCCCTTATTTCATCTCTCTCTCTCCTTCCCTCCCTATTTTCCGCACAAGCTCACCGAGTCGAAAGGACGGGCTGGTGGAGGATCGAGGCCACGATATCTCGGCGATCGGCTCGTTACCAATTAGTCGCCGATGTAACGTGGTGATTATGCTGCGGTGAAGGATCGCGCGAATGGCCTGTTGTCTCGGTAATAAACGAGAGACGGTCGATCGATTTTCTACGAAGGCCGTCTCGAGGCGTCCTCTTAAACAAGGATGCCTTACCCTTCTTCTGCCTCCTTACTTTTCCCCTCTCGAGAATTCGAGAACGGGTGACCCAATTCCAAATCCCTGGTCTATCTTGCGTGGCATCTCTTAGAGACCAAGTGTAAACGTTTTCGTATGCTCGAGGCGAGATGGTGTCGTGGAAAGAAGGCGCGCCGAGAACAAACGACGATTGAATTTCACGGGGCAGCCTCGTAAATCGTCTCGTCACGAGGAGAACCAGTCGGGATGGCCACCGATTCGTGACGGTATTAGCGGCCACCTGTGCAGGTCGCAAAAGGGGTTAAGAGGGAGGGGCAGGTGTAAACGACCCACCCACGCGACCGTTCACCCTCTCGATGAAATTTTCAGCCTGGAAGGACGGGCAGGAAATCAGCTGTTGCGGCTACGACACGAGATATACCGGGTGGCGGAATCGTTGATTGAAAAACGCCATGGTTTTTCGAATCGAATCTTCGGATTAAGCTTAATTGCTTGCTATCTGATATTGTTATCGCAAGTTGTGGAGGAGAAAGTTGGGCAAGGAGAAAAATCGAGCAAAGTGTCTCGATGTAGATTACATTTTTATATGTGGAAACTTTTATTCGTTATCGGTGTATCGCGAAGCGATGTTTCTGTAGGATTCAAATATGTAGCAAACGTTTCGTTGAAGCTATTTCGTAAGTTTTTTTTTTTTTTTGTTTATTTCCATTGGTCGTTGGTTGGAATTGCTTTGCGTAATCTCCTCTTGGTTACACTTCGAATAGAATTGCTGTGTGCGATTAAATTGTCGCGAATTATTTCGCGTATTGTGCTGTCTTGATTATTCATCTTGATTAATGTAATTTATCGTATTTGTACACACGGAAGAATACATTAATATTTTCACGAATACGGGTGTAATCCGCGAATTTGTACGAAATGATAGCCGAGCGAAATCGCGGGTTTACGCGGTTCTACCAGTGAAATCACGAATACGTGACAGCCGGCTATCGTAGTGTTAATCTTTGCTCGTGTTTAAACCATAATTAGCAGAAGATCCGAGAACTAATAACCCTTTTATAACGTAGAATCACACGTATGGCTTGGATTAACTTTTTCATGTAAAAATACTCGCGATTTATCTTTTTCTAATCTAATAATCCTCGAATTTGCGCAAAAAAAAAACAACGTTAAACCTTGTAACTTCCTCGTAAGAATTTTAATAATTATAATTATAATCGGTGCAAATAGCATTGCACCGATCAAATTGATCAAATCTGTTCTCTTTTCATCTTTTCGACATGGACATTGTTAAACGAGTTGTTAATTTTTTTTATTGAAAGAGTTTTGGAATTTCTTCCTACAAAATTTGTCTATACTTATAGTGATTGAAAGTTAAGTAAATGAAGAATTATGGGGAACTTTAACGTAGAGACCAAAAGAGAATTATTCTATCGTACATGATTCGATTATCTGATCGACGCAGAGAAGCCTGTCAACGTGTGAGACGAGAATGCAACGATATTCATCATATTTAAAAAAAAAAAAAAAAAAAAAAGAAACGTTTGCTAGAAACACTAACATAGGTCGAAAGAAAATTATTCTATCGTGCACAATTTTCAATCACGCGAGATCACGCAAAGATCGCATAGACGATAATATCTATCACGATTTTTTCGCTACTTTTACTTTTTCTATTCGATAATTAAAAAAAAAAAGAAAAGAAAAGAATTCAAATAGGAA